ATTTCTGCTAAAATAAACGCTTTATCAATTTTCAATTGGTCACTATTGCAAATTACACAATTGTCCAGTTATCAAAATTATCACCGATTGTCTGCAAATAGCGCTTTCCCTAACACAGATTTCAAAATCGAATTCCATCCGGTCTCGCCGAACGGTCGGTCGTTAGCAGCAGTGCTTTCGACGCGTGGCGTTGAACATTGTTCTCCAGTACACAACGAACGCAGCCCACATGAGCGCCTATTCACCGAAGAAGGAGGGAGAAACCGCACCGCTACTGATCGGATTCAGTAGCTCTTCGTAAGTCGCTGTGGGTCATCTACCATCGATCCAAACAACATACAGCTCACCAGCCTCATCTGTGTTGAACACCCTAATAGCGTAAGTAATTACTCACATTGAATTGTTTATTTTGTTAGGACATTTTTTAAATCACAAATTTGGAGTAAAATCATATGCGAAAATCTTTGTGAAAATTTTATTTTTAGCTGAAACTACAAAAAAAAAGTTTCTGAAAATGCATACTTGTGCGTAAATGTAGGCAATTTATTTAAAAAATCACTGAAAATTCAACAAAATTCTCAATATTGAAAACATTTTATCGTATTTTTTTCAATGATTAAGATTCATTGAAACTTCATTCAACGAAAAATACCATTTTCAAGTGAAGGACAACAATCGTTGCAACCCTACGATCGTTTGTTTGAATGCTGATATTGAATGCTATTGAAGGTTTGTTGCAAGTTTTTTTTTTAAATAAATTTAAATTTAAGCAGTAAAACCTACAGTTTTTTCTCATGAGAAACTCGTCAAAGCAATCACTGGAGTCTCATGATGCAATGCTATCATGATTTCTCTACGACTGGATGACTTCCTTCAAATAACAACTGAAGTGCGGTAAAAAATCGGTAGAACTGTTTCAAACACACAGTTGGTACTTGAGCGGGTCGGTTTTCATCTCTTTTTGCCAGTTATGGCGGGGGGGACACCCCTCACCATCCCTCTCCAAAGGGGGAATTTGGTAAAGAGAGATGAAAAAACCGATTTGTACCTTCCTTAAAAGTTGTCCTAGCTCGCTTGTCTAATATCTATATACAATCTTCACACTGCCGTACTCTAACGGAACTATCAACTCTATGCTTTCATCTACCCCATCTATCGTATAAAAATTACCACTACAGTCTGTTATTTGAAATTAGCATCTTCAACTATGACTTTTTTTGCTGTTTTATTGGACTAAGTTGTCATTGTACCATTGTTGTACTTCCCGGTTGTAGTGACAACTCACAAGATCCGGCCAAAATGTCACCGGACCATCTGGACTGGATCTGACTGGTTGAAGGGCAAAATTCGCTTCTGGAGACATTCGGTTTTGTAAATTTCCGAGTTCCTCATTTTCTCAGTGAAGAAAATCTTTGTCTTCTGGCCGCAGCTGCAAATTCCCTGCCAGATCATATATTTGCGTGCGAATTTATCCGCTAAAACATATTTGAATCTACCAGGGACACTTCCTCGATCCTTCGCCATGTAAAATTTTGGTTCTGGTAGCTGTCCGAAGTCGGCCTTTACATAGGTTTCATCATCTATAAGTATGCACCCAACGGAATCGGTCAGCAGCTTTCGAGCACTGATTCTAGCTATAGTATTCTGCTTGAGTGATCGATTTGATTGCCTACCGGCGCGGTATGCCTGTAAGCCTTCGCGGTAGCGAATTCGCTGCACTGTACGGAATAAAGTTACTCAAATCGCGATCGGACATACCTGGGTTGTTTCTGATAGACCTCATGACTTTTCCATGGAGCTGACGGTTTACTTTGAGGCTTCCGATTCGTCGTCAAGGTTGCCCAGTACGTTTTGAGCACGCGCCATACGGTGTTTCCAGGAAAATTCAACACTCCAAGCTGGACGCGGACCACGATGGATTTTCCTGCGCACAATTTTTTTCTACGCTCTTCTTACATGGTGACTGTCTCCAAAACAAGAGCGTTTTACGAACTGAAAAAAAATCGCTGTTATTGTTGTTGTTGCCAGCAAATATACGTCAAAAGCTTCCGAAAACGTCCACTAGGAGCGCTGTAATGAGCAAAAGAGTTTGTTCCGTTACAAAATGGACCGTGGTTTAGTGTTAACTGTTCACCCTAATGAAAAAAATACCATACCCGAACGATAACCCAAATACCAGAACTATTCCACAAATGATTTGGATAATACCCTGAAACGTCGTTAAACAAAAAAAAAACATAAAAATAATCGTATTTTGACGTAGGACTACGTGTGATTTTTATATGGGGATACACTTTGTGAAAACTGAAAATGGAACATGTAACAAAATTATGAAAGATTTTGAACGTTAATAACTCAGCTGCCCCTGGACCAATTTCAATAATTTTATCACCAATCGATCAGAAATGTCCCTACACATCTGTTAAATTTAAGACTTTATCATTTTTTTTTTTCAAATGTCACTATTGAAAATTGTACGACACCCATTGCCGGCGAAAAGCGATTTCCCTAACACAGATTTCAAAGTTGAACTCCATTCGGTCTCACCAAACGGTGTTTATTCAATCACCGTGTGGTGAGTGGTGGTGTTCTCCAGTACACAACGAAAGGCTCCCCGCAAGCAGCTAGCTGTCAAGGCTGGCCTCAACCGTTGATCGGATTCAGTTCCAATCACCGTGTGTGGTGGTGTCCGGTCGGCGGCATCAGCAGCAGCCGCAGTGCTTTCGGTACGTGGTGTTGAACATTGTTCTCCAGTACACAACGAAAGGCTGCCTGCAAGCAGCGAACTGGAGCCCACATGAGCATCGATAGAAGGAGGAAGAAGCCGCACCGCTATTGATCGGAAGCAGTAGCTCTTCGTGAGTCGCTGTGGGCCATCTATGTCAAGCGCGTCATACTAAAGATTATAAACAGAGAGAACCCTGCACAAATTCCTATTCCTACACAAAACACAAGCTCCTGCTGCAGTTACAAAATAAGATTTATTATATAAGACCACAAGGTCCTACGTCACCATTGCGTACAGGGCTGTCTCTGGTAGTTTTTTGTCTTTCTTGTCATTCTTGCGTTTTTTCTCTCATGGCGGTTCCCCATCTCTTTTCTCCGAGCGTGGATTTCGGACTCCCTTCGGCGTCTCCTGTGCTTCAACATTTTTTTTTCACTTCCTCCGTGGCCTCTATCGATACAGTTTACGATACGACTCTAATCATCAGCGCTTTCTGTTTACGTTCGGCCACAGTCATGGCGGATTTAGTACCTCTCACTAGTTGCTGAATCCTAGTGTGGACATTGTTTTTATCCTTGATGAACTCATAAAGTTCATTGATCTTCTTTCTGACCTCCGTCATGTTGGTCCTCCCAAACTGCAGTCCTTGCTGTCCATCTTAGGTTGTGCTACTGCTGAAATACGGGGTGAATATCTAGCTCATTACAGACCTCACTCTACTTGGAGTTCTTGTTGTTCCCATTGGGGATTGCTATAACTAGAAATCGATGGTTAAATACTGGCGACCTCTGCAGTTTCTTTTTCCATAAATTATAAAGCTTTTGGTATCCCGTCTTTGGCTGCATGTTTCCAGAACCATTTTGACCGGGTTGTTGTCCGACATTCTAACTTCTAAAGACATGTCCAGCCCAGCGTAGTCTCTCAGCAGACATAAAAAACCATGGCTTTCTCAAATTTTCCACGCATATACCCCCGAACAGGACTAATTTTACAGTAGATTTTATTACCAATAGATTTCTGTTTTCATTTTCGGGATGTTCTCTATTCGGTGTTAACGCATAGTTCCTATCATTTTGTTTTCCGTGTTCGATGCCTGCGTTATTAAGTACATTTACTGCTGCAGCATTTTTATTCGTTCTTCAATTTGCCTTAAATTTTCTTTGTCCTAGATTCGAATGGTTTTGAGATACTTTAACCCAATAAATAAAATACAAGGAAACATGGACCAGGTACCGAATTGCTAAATGATTCTGTTTTTATGAGAAACCACTAAGTTTTCAAATTTTGTTTTGCTAATTGCTAAAATTTTGATGATTGATGAATGCTTTTTTTTGTTGATGAGTAAAAGCTACTGAAAGAGTCGAACACAAATACATCTAATTGCACATTTTGTTTTGTACGGTAAAAGCTTCTACTGTGAAACAAGAAAACCAAAAACTACAAATGCAAACCTTAAGTACTTCAATTCTGTTGCTCTAATCGATGCCATTCTACTAATGCTCGTTCTTCTTCGCTAAAAACTAAGTAAGTAAATGCGTTTAGTTTCACTAAACTAAAATTAGACTAAAATAGTAGTGGATTTTCCTACCGCTCGTTTGACCGACACGCAGAAGCTACAGTTTTCTGGCACACATTTTCACCGCTGCGGATAGTGGTGGATGGAATTTTGTGTTCAATAAAAAAGAAGGTAATAAATACTGTCGCACTCTACTTAGAAAACGTAAAATATCTAACCTCAAAATAGAAAGGTTGGACGGAATAAGAATCTTCTTACGTATCTCTTGTACAATTCATGCAAGGTGCCTACAAGAGAAGTAAAACGATTTCCCTTTTCTTTACCCTATAATACGTAGATAAAAAAAAAACCTTAGCGAACTGCAGCTTCCCTCGTCGTAAAAGTTAAAAACTGTGATGTAGCAAACAGTACGCATTTTAGCGTATAAAAGTGAAGGATAAGCAATAGGTAGTAAAATCAAAAAGTTGTTGTACAATATTCTTTGTCAGATCCAACATGTCTGGAGCCTCGCACTCGTTCGCCTTCTTCCGCGCGCCAAGCAGAAAGGAATGCATCCATTTCAGTCACTAACCATTTTCGATTCGTTCCTGTATGTGTGTGTGTGTTTGTTTGTTTGTATTGCAGTCACGGGACGCACAAAATTTAATGACATTCGCCAACCTTGACTCCCGTGTGTTCTGCGTTTGTCTCACATTCAGTTAATCAATCGTCCTGTTATGTTAAAAACCGCTTCTTTTCCAAAGGAAATAATCTCATTTTAGCGTAAGTCAAAAGTCCAATTTGCGACTTGCGAGAGAAAAAAAAAAAACAGTCTGATATCGATTTAAGTGTCTGCGCTTTACATGATGCTTTAAGCAAGCTTTTGTTTTTAATGATAGAGTTGTTAAAAACGTGGTATAACTGAAACTTCCCACTATAACAGACAAACGTTCGTTCGATTCCCGTTCCCCCCGTTTGCGTCTTACCAATCGTCGTCGTCGTCGTCGTCGTCATCGTCCCCGGTCTCTTGGCCCTAGGCATCCTCCACGGTGCTGCCAATGGGCCGCAGAACGATCCTCGGGTCCGGGTCCAGCATCCGGTCGGACTCTTCGGCACTGCTCAGACAGGAGTCCTTGTTGTCCGGCATCAGGTTTCGCCGTTCTTCGTCCTCCTGGCGGGTCGGAATTTCGGAAACTGGAGCGTACTGCGTGTGGGATACCAACGGATCGGTGCTGGGGTTCAGCGCCAGGATCTGGCCACCGCTGTTTCCCTGCAGCTGTCGTGCCAGGCCCTGCTTCTTGGACAGGGCGCACGGGCAGACACAGTGCCGGCGCCAGTCGGCTACCTTAATGTAGAGGCCTGCAAGGGGGAGAATCGTATTAGCGGGAACCTGACATGGTGACATTCCGTAGAAAATGCAAGCGAAGTGGTAGGTACATACCGAGCAGAACGAAACCGAGAATGGTGATGAAGACGCCGGCCACAATCAGACCTATGTCGAGCTCTTCTTCTGGAATGGTGCCCCCATCCGGGTGCGTCTCTGGGTGTTGTTCGGTGTCGGAATAGTCAGCTGAACCGCTGGCGATCATGACGATACCTATGCGAAAAATGCAAAATAAGAGATTTAGCACAAACAGCTGGAAGTTGATTTTTAGAAGGTATTTAACGAGGACGGGACGACCGGAAACTAAGGAAATGAGACACTACCCAGGGGCTATCAATAACAAATACCAGGTAGCCAGGTTGCAAAATACGGGTTTGCTCATCTTTCTTTTGAGCAGTTCCAGGCCAAATGCGAAAAAAAAGAATTTTTAACTCGACCTTCTCCGATTTTCATGAATTTTTGCATAGTTGCTAAAATTCGGCCATTTTGGATATTGATTTTTTCTTTCAAAAGGGCATCTTTTGAAATTTTTCAATAGTGACGTTTTCGTGCTACGATTTAATGAAAATGTCAGACGCCATTTTGAAAAAAAAATTACAAGATCTAAAATTGCCGACTTTTAGCAAAACTGTGAATGATTTCAAATAATAAACAATTATACAAGTTTCATTAAATGTTAGAATCTTAGTCCGCGATTATGATATGTTTTTTTACGCATAAGATCTAAACAATTTGTCGAAGGCTCAGAATCTTGAAACTTTTTTTCCAAATCCTGGATCTGAATGTGGAAGAGACAAGAGTTCATAAGGACAAAAGGTCGAATGGAAAGAAGGTCAAAATGAACAAAAGGTCTAATGGACAAAAGGGCGAACAGATCAAAAAGTCTAGTAGGACAAACGGTCGATTAAGACAAAAAGTCGAAGGACCAAAGGTGGAATTGCTTTGAGATTAACAAAAAATCAAATGAGCACAAACAATAAACTGAGTGAAGTAAACCAAACTTCAGTAATTTTACTCAAAATGCAGAAAGTTATTTCGCACTCTTGGAGTTCTTCATAACATCAGCAGATCATTGGCAGGTAAAAGCGATTGAACTTAAAATGCTCACTTTTTGAGAAAACTATTTCTTTATAACATGAGCAGTTCTTTTAAAGTTTAGAGCCATCGACATTTAAAATCCTTTTTCATAATATAATCAGTTTGTTCAAGTTATCTTGAATATCGTTTTGACCCAAATCAACACTCGTCACTATCCGATTATCACCAAATTTTAATGCGACAGATCCTTATTCTGAAAGTACTCGTACAAAACTTTTTCGCGCACGCAGTTATTTCGTCGCCATTTTGAAAAATTCAGCGCTCCTGATGAAATCAACTCACAGAGTGCAAACAATACACATTAAACTATGTCTACGCAAAATTTCAATTAATTTTACCCAACGGATCAAAAGTCAGAGCAATTTGAATGTGTGCGGATTTTAAACGGTACACCCTTTACTGCTTTTGAATAGCACACGTGCGAAAAATATTGCACTTCGTGATGCATCTAACATTTGACCAAAGTTCCATCAACAATCAATACGAAACTAACGAGTTTAAATTGGCTCACTACTTGACTAGCCTATAGGTCCCAAGCAAATCGATTAACGTACCCCATTCTAGTATAAATTCCAGTACTACACTATGTTTGTTTTGATTCGCGGACAGATAAAACGAGGGGTTCGTGGATTTTCCTATGTTTCGAGGGGTGCATCGATTAGCCTGGGACCGAAGATAGTACCAGAGCGGAGCCAAAAAGTTGAGCTCGTTTCTTCGGGAACTTCTGGTCTTAGACTTACCTCTATGGTTCCATTGAGTTAGGGAGGATATCGAGTTACGAGGGTAAATTTTAGGAATTCAGAAAAGTTAGGAAGAGATCCAGTAAGATCGAATAAAAGTACTCTCTACAACTCGATATTGGGGAACTCTCTACAACTCGATATTGAAGGGACCATCGAGTTATGGGATCATCGTGTTACAGAACAACAATCCTATAGAAAATCACCATCACACTAGCTATGAAATTAATGTTTATGTTAACAAAGTAGGCGTTGGATTGCTGTCTTGAACACTCCAATCAATTTTCTAGCGTCATTCCATATCAAGACACTGAAGAGAGCAGTCATACCAAGATAACTTTATCGTTAATAAAACTTGTTCATTGTTAAGTGTTGTCCTGGTTATTTCCTGTCCGCCCCATCCGCACCGTATTCCTTTAGGTTATGGGCTCGTCTACGAAGGAAGGCTCTGGAATTCCGCAGCTAAACGGATCGAACTTTGAGAACTGGCGTTTTCGCGTTCAACTCTACCTGGATGCGGCGGAAGTTTCAGAAGCGCTTACGGGGCAAGTTCCTGGTGCAATGGATGCTGGAAGAGCGAAGTTTATGCAGACAGATCGGAAAGCGAAGTCACTACTGGTCGGATTCCTTTCCGATGAATGTCTTGGCATAGTACGGGACAAGGAGACGGCTCGCGATATGTGGAAGGCACTCGAAGACACCTTCGCGAAGAAGTCTGTGGCAAGTCAGACTCTGTTACGGAAGCAACTGGCAAGACTTCAGATGAAGGAGGGTACTTCAATGCGGCATCATTTCCAGCAGTTCGACGACATCGTACGGCAACTCAAGACCGCTGGTGCGAAATTGGAGGAGAACGATCCGGTATCACAGTTATTTTTGACCCTTCCCGACAGCTACGACTCCATGGTAACAGCTTTAGAGAATATAAACGAAAAGGACCTGACGTTGGAAACCGTGAAGCAACGATTGTTGGCGGAGGAATCCAAGCGGTCTGATCGGATGGAAGATTCTTGTGAAAATAGGAGTGCAGCGTTTGTCGGAGGACGAAATAAGAAGACCAAAAAGTTTACCGGAAAATGCCATCGTTGCGGAAAGGTGGGACATATGCAAAAAGATTACTATGTTAAGAAGCCAGAAGGTAAGGTGAATGCGGCCGTTAACAGCAAATCAGTTTCATTCATCGTGAACAAGATGCCGACGAAGACGGAACATAAGAGATCAGTTTTCGTTGTGGATTCTGGATGCAGCGACCATCTGGTGAACACTTTGGAATGCATGCAGTCGGTGAGGAAACTCAAACAACCGTTCGTGATCGATGTAGCCAAAGATGGTGTTTCAATTATCGGAAACTACGAAGGTGAAGTTACTGGACTATCAAGAGAAGGTGTGAAGTTTGAAATGAAAAATGTGATTTTCGTGCCCGAGCTGAGAGGAAACCTGCTATCCGTGAAGAAGATGTCCCAAGCGGGAATCGACGTACTATTCACAAGCCGTGGTGGAAAGCATCAAGCGATGATGAAAAAGAATGACTCAGTAATTGGAGTAGCGCATCTACGAGGTAATTTGTACGAATTGGATTTAAACTTGGACGTGTCAGGAACTACCGCAAATCTATGCGCATCGGACGCTGGAAAACTCTGGCATCGTCGTTTGGGTCACGCCAGTCAGACCACGATGAACACGTTGGCCCGGTATAGTGTGGCGGAAGGATTTGGTCCGAAGGTCAATGCTATCGGGTTCTGTGACACTTGCGTGCTCGGTAAGCAATGCAGAGAACCCTTCGACGGAACTCGTGAAAGAGCTAGTCGTCTACTAGAGCGGATTCACTCGGACGTGTGTGGACCAATCAATCCTCCGGCCTGGGATGGATCGAAGTATTTTGTTTCATTCATCGACGATTATAGTCACTTTGCGTGTATCTATGTGATGAAGAAGAAGTCCGAGGTTTTTGGTCGTTTTCAAGAATAGTGACCGCCCAGTTCGAAAAACGAATCAGCAAGCTAACCGTGGATCAAGGGCGTGAGTACGGCTCTAAGGAACAAGAAGCATTCTACAAGCAAAAGGGGATTCAAATCCAGCCAACCGTAGCATATTCTCCGCAACAGAACGGAGTTGCCGAGAGGTTCAATCGAACGCTAATTGAAAAGGTAAGGACAATGCTGATCGACTCGAATATGCCCAAGTACATGTGGTCGGAAGCAGTGCTTACCGGTACGTATATATTAAATCGTTGCCCTACTGCTGCTCTATCGGACAACCGTACGCCTGCTGAGTATTGGACCGGTGTGAAACCTGATCTATCGAAATTGAGGATTTTCGGATGCAAAGCATTTGCATGGGTGCCAGGTCAACTCCGAAAAAAGCTGGACAACAAGAGTCGCGAGGCGGTGATGGTGGGCTATGCTCCCAACGGATACCGCCTTTGGGATAGAACGTCAAGAAAAATCCTCGTAGCCCGTGACATCAAATTTGACGAGAATTCATTACCGTACGCTTTTGAAGACAGTCAAGATTCGAGGGTACCGTTGGTGATTCCAATGCTGTATCCGGCCGTCGAAGATGACCAGCAAGCTGAATTGGAAGAGCAGCCAGATGACCAGCAAGTTGAGTTCGAAGACGCGATGCCTGTGCTAAGTGATGACGAGGATGAGGTTGAACTAGACGAACAACCTGAGGAGCAACTTGAAAAACCTGGGGCGCTCCCTTCACAATCAAGAGGTGAAGACTGTTCAGAGTCAAACACTAGGCGTGGTGAACGGGAGCGCAGGCTCCCAGGTAAGTTTCTTGACTTTCTAACTGGGTTCAGAGCAACGTCTGCTGGAAAAATTTCAACATTCCCAGATTTCCCGGATTCGTACGATGAAATCAATGCGCGGAATGACCAAAAACTGTGGCTGGATGCAATCGATGAAGAACTGAAATCCCTGGAGGCCAACAAGGTATGGGAATTGGTGCCATGCCCAACCGGCGTCAAACCGCTGCAGTCAAAGTGGATCTTCCACACGAAAGAGGATGAAGAAGGAAACCCTGTGCGCTATAAAGCAAGGTTGGTCGTCAAAGGTTTCTTGCAGAAAGCCGGTTTGGACTACAACGAAACCTACGCACCTGTGGTGAAGCTGACGACAATCCGTATTGTGCTGGCTGTCGGTGTTCAAAAAGGCTTCCATTTCCACCAAATGGATGTGAAGACGGCGTTTCTTCACGGTGAGCTGCAAGAGAAAATATTCATGGCGGTTCCGAACGGCGTCAAGGCGAGAGCTGGCACGGTGTGCAAAATGAAAAAGAGTCTGTATGGCTTGAAGCAGTCCCCTCGCTGCTGGAACGAGAAGTTCAATCAAGCGCTGCTGAAGTTAGGTTTTATTCGTTCCAAGCACG